CTCCTCCTCTTTCGATTGGTGAAAGGCACAGGTCTCTAGCTGTTTGCGTTCTCGAGTTATTCAAAAAACAGTCACACGCACGGACTTTTTCGACGGGCTATAGCAATAGTACAGTGGTGATGATCTCTTTGTATATAATTGATTGATAATGAAAGTTTGATTTGAACTGTTACAAACAATTTTCAATGGAATCTCTATTTACACATGCAACCACTCATCATTTTTTCAATCTGACTTCAAATTTTAAGAGGACTATTGTAAAAGCAAATGGCATCGATTTGTTGTAGTTCATCAAAAAAAAAAATTCGGAATTCAATATCAATTTGAGGGCAAAAATTGATGTTTGATTTCAATTGGTTACTCTATTCAAATTTGGACTAGTCTAAACTCGTATCTTAGAATGGTCTAGGCCAATTTGAGATTGGCCTACGACATATATATATATATCAGTTTAGAGGAGAAAATTGTTAACTCGATTAAAATATGAGTCAGTCGAAAATTGAACTTTCTGACTTGCCCAATGAAATATTGTTTATGATATTGAAAAAACTTGACAATATAAATGTTTTATATTCATTAATGGGTATCTACAACGAGAAAATTGACATTCTATTATATGATGATATCTTCACAAATACTTTCAATTTAGTTTCAACATCATCAACCGACAATGATAAGCATATACGCTCAATTGATGATCGAATAGTTGATCGTCTTTGTATTAATATATTACCTAATATACATCATTATGTCAAATATCTTCTTTTCGAATCAATGTCAATGGAGCGTATTCTTCTTGCTGGTAACTATACAAATTTAATTTCTATGAAATTATTTAATTTTACACAAGATATTGCTTTAAATTATTTTACAGGTAAATATTCTTGATGTTCATATATGAGAAACAAAATCTATATCGTAACATTTAAACAAAATAAGATTTCTGAACTGATTGTTTATTTACTTATTTTGTTTTATTTTGTTTAGATGAATCAATCTTTGAATATATTTTTAAATATGAAATAAAAGAAGTTATTCTTGAAAATAATGATTATTATAATTCCATAAAAGAAAAAACAATAGTATTAAAAGAATATACTAAAAATGTTTATTTATCAATAATGAATTTATTCAAAAATCTTAAATCTTTAACTATTATTTCATCATCCAAAATCTATTATCCACCATTGTCCATTCATGATTTACCATCAACTACTTTTTTTTCTTCGATTCTTACAAATTTATCTATCAATGTAAATAGTTTAGATGATTGTCTTTATTTACTTGATGGTCGTCTTAAACAATTAATTACATTTATTCTACAAATTTATTATATACATAATCATTCATCAATTCTTCACAATACCGTAAGTTTAGAGTTTTATTTAATAATTATTTTCAATACATAATGACTATCAAAGATGATAATATTGAATTAATCAATAATATAATTTATATAAATAAAAATCAAATATTACTAGATTGTGATTGAGTACTGCATTCTGGATAGAATGTCGGCTGACAGCAAGTAGAACATTCGATTTGAGAGAGCCTATCTAATATTTGATTTATTTAATTGAGTTGCATACTTTATTTTAATAATGATTTCACTTATCAACTAAGTCACTTATGAAAATGCACTAGTTATCGTTAAATAAGTATCATTTTGATTGAAAAAGTTTTTGTTTCGGAATTAACTAAAATATGAAATATAGTTTGAATTATATTCCATTGAAATCTTATTTTTTTTTGTTTTTTTCCAAACAACATATTTATTTGATTTATGTCATATAATTGATTTGACGTTATTGTTTTGCTAATGTTTTGAAACGTAACGATTTAATTCTTTTGTTTTTAAAGACTATTTAGTTTAAAATAAATTAGTTCTAATGCAATAAATATTTTCAATTTTCAATAATGCATCAGACAGTTATGTTCTTGGTAAATATGCTCTCATTAGATACACTTTTAGTTAATATACTTTTATTTATTTAATATATGTTGTTAGTTGTTGAATAATGATACTATGATTAAAATCTATAATATGCATCTATTTATCTTAATAAGGAAGATGTCAGATTTTGTTTCGTTTATAAGACTACTATATAGATTATTCGGACATATTTTTCAACGTTCGAAACTTGTTCGTAGACGATTTTATCTTGCAGGAGACGGTAATTAATTCTAAAACATATATGCATTTAACCATTGAGATATGTATATCATTCTCAGAGTTAATCATGCATAGCCATATAAGGAAATTATCAGTTGTTAATTATCATATTTAACATTTTTATGTTTGGCGAACGTCACCGAATTTGGAAATCATATGATATTTGTTGAAAATTTTCGAACTCTTTTCATATGTATTACAATTGATATAGAAAGTAAAAGTTTCCTAAAGTAAATCCATTGTTTTACTGTGTTATTATTAGAAGATTTCGATAGTTAGATAAAATATAAGAAAAAAAAATTTTCAATCAGTACATAACATATGTTGCAAAAGTAATGAAACAAATGTCAGATCCTATTTCTCTTCTATAGAAAAGTATTGAAAGAATATTTTTCTTTTTATCAGAAGATAGAACGTTTTTTCCCTTTCGAATTCTATATAGCTTTTTTTACTACACCTTCATAAATCATATGTTATAATAGAAAAGAGAAACACTCTTTAAATGACTCCACACTTCTCATTTTATGTAGAATAATAGTAGAAAATATCAACTCTTATATATTTCTTTTTAGTAAATATGTGTTAGAGCGATTTATTTTTTTCATCAGATAATAGGAAATGTTCATTTATATATCAGCCTGTTCTGCTAAAATGGGCCATACTTGGCTAAACGTTGCGCAGAAGATTTCTCGATCATGTAGCAACCGAATTGATTTATTCAAAAATTTTGTTATAGGTTTTCGTATATTCCCTATCAATTGATATCATTCATTTTGAAAAAGAACGAGAATAAATGGTAGTCACCAGCCAAAATCAAGTGTTTTTCGTGCGAAAATGGTGAAAAAAGGGCCTTACTGTCCACAATCATATTTCGGACAGTACGTGCTCATTTAAAAACGATGGAAATAATAGTAGTACTATCGAAAATTGAACTACTATTTGGCATCAATAGATCATCTCGTTTTGTTGTTAAACCTATAACAAAAATGTGCCTTTTTAGAGAGCTGAAAAAAAATCGATGAGTGCGTTACCGTAATGATTTGGTAATAATTGTTTGTGAGAACAAACTTTCAAAAAAAAGAATTTTATGATTCAATGGTCTAATGTCTTGGCGTCATACACAAATAAAAATATTTTCTTTCGAGCGAGTAACTTGCCAGGAATATGAACTTTTTTGGGGTCACTCTCATGAAAGGGTCCTTTTGAATGAGTGCGTTACCACGCTTTTCAGTCCTTCTAGAATCGTCACAATTCGAGCAAATGAAATGAAAATTTTAGTGGAACTACAACTTCCATATATCTTACTGAAGTATAAATTTCAGCTGGTTGTCATA